AAGACATTGGGGGCAGATGTTGAAACTTGTCTGAAATCGCTAATTCAAGCACTGGAAAAGGCTAAGGAAGAAAGTAAACTCAAACTCATAAAGGAAGAAGAAGCAAAAGAAGCAGAAGCAGAAGCAGAACAACAAGCTGAAGAAGAAGAGGAAGCAGAACAAAAGGCTGAAGAAGAACAAGAAGCCCACCAAGAAGCTGAAGGTGACAACGGCAACAGCGACAGTTACGATGAAGAAACAGGATCAGAGGAATCGGAATCAGAATCAGAAACAGGATCAGAGGAACCGGAACCGGAATCAGAATCAGAAACAGAGTCGGAATAAGAGGATGAAGAAGAAAAAGTTCACTTGTGTCTGTTTAAATTTAGTTCATTTTTACCATGTTCAATTATCAAGACTTGTCAATAATGAAATTCTCTTTAGTTTTTATTATTACAATTTTTAATTTCATTGGAGGTTCTTGAAACTGTTCTATCAGTAACTGTTCATTGTTAAATTAAGGCGGCTGTTACAAATCACCTGGAAGAACTTTTGAAACTCTTTGCCTTGCACCTATATATCTGATTTCTATGTAGATTTTCTTCTGACCTCAAATTCAAAGCTAAATAAGGCCTAAGGAGGCCATAGATCATCGCTACGGGCAAGAAACGATGGCTGGTGCTCATGGCTTCCGATGTTGCCTAACAATCATCTGTTATGTGCTGTTGCTGTCTTCAGGAAAACTTAATCCAGTCTCGGGTTTTTCCTGGAAAAACTTTTTGAAACACTTTTTTTACCTTGAAAAGGTGACTGTCATCATAACGAACAATTTCCTCTCCCATCAGGACCTCATCCTACACTGCAAATCTTGGCATGATGATCTGGGTAGACACCGCCTTTACTACAAGGAAAGTTTCACGTTTAGGTTCGTCCCTGACATCTTTCAGAAGACAAGGTTCTACTGTGAAGTGGAGCTGGAGGTTAGGCATGGTGAACTCTTTTCTCAAACCTATGACTTATATTATGCACTGAGGGATGTGCCACGCTGTGGCACCAAGTGTGAATGGTTGCTCAATGAATTTGGCTTGAATTCTTACATTCCAGCTGAGAAAAGATGGAAGACGATGTACCACTGGTATAGTACTGAGGAAGTAATTTCCGGTTAGCAAACAGAAATTTCTGTCGCCCAAAACAATATTCAACTTTGGTTCTTTCTAAAGATGATCAACACTAATCAATAAAACAACTCGTGATGCGAGAAAGTTAATTAAAATCATAGACTGCACATAGCGAGGTTTATTTGTAACATTAGATGAAATGAATGTTAGCATAGAAGGGATTTTGGTTCATCTTAAACACGCTTGTAGAGGTAAAGCTAGAAAAGAATCACGAAGACTTCCATCATTCTCAATATCTCAGCAAAATGGGTAATAAATCTTCAATAATATTGTACTCATTTGGTCTGATCACTGATGGAGAATGAAGCTTTTAATCTTCCAACAAGATGTGGAAGTGTTTTCATGTTATCCTCAATGGACTTGTTAACACATGACTCCAGATCGTTAATGGCTTCAGTTCCAACCCGTTGGAGCTTAGCTGCTTCAAACTTGTCCTGGCAGACCATCAGGGATCTATTCAATCTTTCCTACATCCATTACAATAAGTATATGTCAATGTGTTATTTTGAATCAACACTAGGGCATGGCAGGCTGACAAGATTACAAGACAATGACATAATTCAGAAACTATGAAAGCAGGATCCATATAAAAAATGTATCAAACAACATTGCAGAAAGGTAAACCAAAGCCAATTCCTTGAGCATAGGTGTGCATAATAAAGAAAGTAGGACAGACTTATAGAATGAAGTGTGTTCCCCGGATGAGAAGCCGTCCTATGATAAGTTTACAGCTAATATCCTCTTTTTTTTTTTGGGTAGCAACTTCTGTCATTTACAAAATCAGGAAAGAGGAAAACAGGAAAAAGGAGAGAAACTCCCAGAGCCATGAGGAAGGATTGTCCCTTTGACATTTAACAAAGAGGAAATGCACTCTCTAAGGAGATTTTTGGAAAGCCAACTAAATTACAGCTCCAGAAGAGCATAAATTACATGCCTAAAGATGATAGTAATTCATTAGAATACAAAATGTAAGAATAAGGTCCCTAAACTGAATAGACAAAGGAAAGGGGGGTAGGTGGAAGAGCACATAAGCAAACAAACAACCAAACAATCAAACAAGCCATAAACACATTGATACCATTAGAGAAATTTCTTGGCCCCACCACTGGCTATTCAATGGAGAAAATGATGAGACATGCAGCAGAAAGATCTTTATTTACATGTTTCAACCAGTTGACATTCAATATCTACCAATAAATCATAAAATAAATAGAAAAAAATGATAACATGCATAACACTGCCCCTCTTCGCCAGAAAGAACAATATTTAGAAGTGAGATGGGAAAAGGATCTTACTTGAAACTTGGCCATCTCATTCTCAAAATGCTGTTGGGCATTAAGAACAGGAACGCTACAATGCTCCACACAATTGCTTATCTCTTCTTGCTTCCTCCTTCGGTCAAAGCACTCGTACGCACACTTGAAGTATGATTGCTGCAGCCAATCACCAAGCAAACAACAAATGCAATCAATTTAAAGCAATTATCACAATATATAAGAAGAAATTCAAGGGGAAAATATAGTATTGAAATCTGAAGATCCCATATATTGTTCAGTTCCTCTGCTTCTAATTCTCCAAAACAAAGAAGAAGAACACCTAAGATCAAACCCAGAAAGCACACATCTTTCATTTTTACCAACACGAACTGAATAGAACCCAATTACCAAAAAGGGCAAAAACTAAACTTTTTGAATATATCCATCTGATTCCGTAAACCAAATAATGGAGAAATACACCCCAAGAGGGGTAAAGAAATTGGAAAGCAGAACGACCCACAAGAAAATATCAAGAAAACAATCAAAATTTGTAGAAACAGAGAGCTAGAGAGAGCAAAGGGGAGACCTGAAGAGTGAAATTGATGTGGTCTTGGACAGGAGCAAGCTGGGATTGAGCCGCTAAATTGACCTCGTCAAGTTTCTTCCTCATTCTTTCTGATACTATTTGCTGCTCCGCTGCTGCTAAGTGATCCATCTTTTCCCCCTTTGTCCTGGTTTCTTCTTCTTCCTATCCTACTTTTCAAAATCGCAAAATAGAAGCTTGTTAGGTTGGAGTCTTAAGAGAGGTTTAAGGGGTTTATTTTATTATGCAAGTTGCTG